GGGGGGGGGGGGGGGGGGTCCAAAATGTTGGTTTTGGCACTTTTTTATCATGTACTATAACATACCACAGACGCGTCAAGATCGGTGACATACGTGAGGACGAAAATTTAAAAAAGTATTATTTTGACCCACATATGAGTGTGATGCAGCCGTGTATGCAGGTATGAAAAAAAACAGGTCCACATGGTCGCAGTGATTCATCAAGAACGAAACACCCGAAACACAAAATAAGATATGCTTTTTACTCAGTGTATGGTTGGCTTCAGATGGAACTAGAATTTAGGTTTTTGGGTCACGTAAAAGTAAGATTTATTCAATTAATCGAAAAAAATTTTTTATTTTCAACTACAAAAAAGGCCAAAGTTTTAAAAATTAATGAATTTTTAACAAAAACTTGTTAAAATGCATACTCCATGAAAAATAAACCAAATCGATTAAAAAAAGCAAAGGATAAAAAAAATTACGTGTTCGAAAAAAAAACTAGAAAAACACAATTCTCCGAATTCCTCAATAAATTTTTGACCCTTTTTGCTGTACGAAAATTCTTCAAAAGTAGCCCAAGCACAATTCTATACGTGCCTCTGTTTGAAAGCTATGATGGTTCCGTACCACCGAACGTAGGCATGCATACATACATTTGTTGAAAATTCAATGGAATTTACGAATATGTGAACCAAATGGTCCTACCGCATCTGGTTTAAAATATCATTTTCGAACTTTACATGAAGCTTCCTCAAGAAGGAAGCAATATTGTACATAGTACTCTATACTTTTATTTAAAAATTGCAATTATATTGCAATAAATAATTTTTTTGTAAAATTAAAGGTATGCTAATGCGTGTTCAAGGACAATTTATTTGAGGCCATGTACAGTTTTAAAAATATAATTAAATCTAGTAGAGAAAAAACAAAAAAAAATGTAATCACAAGTCGAAATAGTTAATTATCCCCCATGGCCAGACTAAACGAGATGTTTAATTGGAAATATACGCTCTCGCGTGCACTCGCCCGATATGCAACTGAAGAGAGATTATTATGTAGCTGCAGAGCGTGTACAGGTGCTTTTGTAGGAGCATAATTAATACAATAATAATTCCATTGATCCAAGCATAATCGCAGAGCCGAAGCCTAGCGAGGTCGCATCAGTATTCGCGCAGCATTCCCGACACAATTCCGTAGATCCTTGCAGGCAAGCAGGTCGCCCTACCCACGCTTTATACATGTAGGAACGTTAGAATGGGTTTGAACTAGCCTGTGTCGAAATTGGTTAGAAGAAGCGCCCCCGAGTCTCACTATGTGTGCGTGTGCATATGATTTTGAAGTCAAAGCAGCTGACATACCATACGCGGCCAATTTTCGCAATCATTCAATTTTCATGTTTGCACTTGTGGCACACGGTGTTGCCTGTATTTTACTTCAGTAATGGACTTTCTATGAAGCTTTGTTACTAGTGACGCGCAACTATTTGGGACAATGCGTACCTTTAATACTAGTTTTATTACTTGCCTTAACTGCACGAAATCAATTTCTTCTTTATGTTTTCACCTATCATAATGATAACAAGTACACAATAAATGTGGGTTCATGATATAGTTCCTACTATTTACACGACATTTTCACCAAATTTTTTCATCACTTTATAAAGTGCATATGATTACAAAGTCGATAACTTTTTTTCGTGAGCTATGTTAATTGTGGGAAGCAGGATCAATTTAACTTGATGATCCATCCAACGCTATCCATAATCTTTGAGTGCTCGAATTACCATATTAATATCCGATATCACTGCGGCATGATTAACTTTAATGGATAAACTTATTGTATTCTCCATGATTTTAACGTTCAAATTTGAATATCATTTATATTTTTCTGATATAGTAATTAATGTTTCATTTAAATTTAGATAGATTACAATCAGTTAAAAATAAAATGTATTCTCACAATTGTTTTATAATAGGTTTATCAATAATGAACAGGAATAAGTATTTTCACATACAAATACTAGAATCAAGAAATTTATAGTATTAAAACATGAAAATTTTATCATTACGTGAAAAATGCTGTTAATAAATAAATACGTACTATTTGATATCATGAGTTTGATACGAAATATGAGAATGTTATGCGGCCATTCAGTCACCAAGATATTTTAATCGTATAAACATGCTTCATCGAACAAATCGAAAAAGCATTTGCACACCTCATGATATAATCAATTTTCAGTACCATGAAAATAAAGAGTAAAATATATTAGTTTTTCGTAGTTTTAAATATATAATCTGCTTCGAATGTCTTACATTGCGCTAGCAATGAATATGCGTTAAGTAACTTTACGAGGATTTATTGGATGAAAAATAATTCATATTGATTATCATCCGTCATTCATAAATTAATGACTTGTATATTTGTACTTACAGAACAAATTTTAATGTTTTGCTCCTGAAAGCAAGAGTAGAAAAATTGTTCTTTCAACCCCCGGAACAAATGATTTGAAACAAAATTATTTAATATTATTCTAACCGTAATAGTTGTAAGGCATTAAACATATTATTATCACGAAGTTAGTCTTTGATGCATTTGTTTCTTCAAAGATTTGTGCAAATGGCATCTGATGATTTTGAGCACGCTTCGTTATTTTCCTGTATCTTCAATGCTATCTTATTGCATCATTACAGATCTATTCTCACTGCCCTTTGTAGAGCTAGAGTAATAAATTATAATGTATTCCGGAATATTTGAAAAAAAAATATGATGCAAAAGGTAGTACATAAACTTGTCCAACATAACGAAACCTAAGTTTACTGAAATTTCTTGTATTTTTAACAGTAGCAATACGAGATATAAAATTGAACTCAAGTCAAATAAGTCTAATTGTAGTTCATTTGACATTTCCTTATTCTCAATTTAAATTTCATCCAACTGCACAAATATTTTTAGCTTCAGGATAAAAAATGCTCTTTGTGAAATTTAGAAATCTAGGACAAGGTATACACTCATTTTCTATCCATCCTTTGCACTCATAACTCTGCTAAACTTTTCGACGATTATCGAATTTCTCCTCGTTGACCGATTTTCAATACGATTAATGTGAAGGTTAGATGGTTTTCATGCTCTACTATTTTCATTCGCTAACTTTGAAGCTCATTTGGAAACAAAATAATAATGTTCAACTGAATTTCAAGTATTATAAAGGTTTAGTAAATAACCGTCAGTCACTTTAATTTGGGTCCAAGCACACTATATTATATAAAATTTTATTTGTGATGAATGATTTATGAAGCCAGATATTTTTCCATGAATAAATCAATTGTTATTATTTAATTTTTGATTTTACTTTAACCGAGAATAAATGTGCATGATAAATGAAAAAATCAGACATTTTATCAACATCATGTTTGTGCTCTTTCAAAATGAATATGTTTGATTTGTTATTTATGAGAACTGTACCATATCATATCATTGTTATATGATTTTTTTGTTATTTGATGCTTGGGAAAACAGTATGAAAATATAAAAATTCTACATTTCTCTTATTGCAATTTCTTACATTTAACAACACTTTTATAAAAATTATTAATTTAAGAAGCTAGCCAAAATATCAAAATTTCAATCCAGTTTTTTGAAATTTCTACTGAATAATTTGCCAAAAGGCTCTATGGCAACCTTAAAAACATCAAAATGAAAGTCGTCATAGAGCATTTTCGAGAAATATTCAGTAGATGTTTCAGAAAACTGGATTGAAATTTTGATATTTTGGCTGGCTTTTATATCCCCTTCAAAGCTCATTTGAATGCACATAGCTTATTTAAATTTTTTTTAAGGCATTGCATTTATGTTGGAAAAAACTTTTTCTTTAAATGCGCTTCATTTTTCAGAAATAGATGTCTAGTTTTAATGAACAGTGTACATTAAATTGCGCAAAATATTGGGAAATTGACTTTCGATCTTATGTATATGGTACAATACTCAATTTTGTATGGATTCCTCTACTACATCCAACATCTTTAGCATCATTAGAAAAAAAATTACTTTAATTTATCAAACTTAATTTCATAAGAATAATTTATTTATCAAGTATACCTGGTAATTCGAGAAAATTTGAAGTCCTCCTTTGTCGACCTCTTGGGTGCACACTGAAATTGAGTGGACCAATATCCTCGTTACTGAAATTGGATACATTAGAAACTTGACTGTCGCGGGAACCACGACGAGATGCAAGGTAAGCTGAAACCATATATTATAATTTTTTATTGATAAATAGTAGTGATGAAAAGAATTAACACTGATGTATAAATTACATAATAAATCACAAAAGAAAAATGCTATTCGTAACTAAAACAAAGAATAAATAAAACTGACGCTGAAAGGTCATTAAAAGAAAAAAGTAATGCGACAAGTAAACTAACCAAGTCCACCCTTCATCGAACCTCTTCGTTTCGGGGTGGATAATACAGTTGTTTCTGTGTCTGTATTATTAAGTTCTGTGAGATCGCCAGTAGACTTCCTCGCAACGCGGCTTTCTCGGGTTCTGGAACTAAGACTTTCTGCGCTGTCGACGGCCTCATTGATACAGCCTTGGCTCTTGTTTAAATGTATTAATCGTTTTTGAAGCGGCTGCCTCTGTTTCTGCGAGCGCATTTTTAGACTTTCATGATGCCAATTTGTCGTCCTAGACGGTTGCTGCTGCTGCGCATTGAATGTCGTTGTAAGGCTCGAAGCCACAGAACTCTGTGGGTCATTTCCTTCGTCTTGACCAGAATCGAAAAGACCAGCAGAATTGCTGATTGCCATTAAGCCAAAACGTTTTTTCAAGTTAGGTGTCATCGGTCCGAGATCCAAACAGGAGTTGCGTCGAACCTGATTAATCGAGTCTGTATTGTGACCTCGCCGCTTAATTGAGCTCGACTGATGCTGCACGGGCACATTGATGCTCGGCGAAGTTGGCGACTTTGGTGGATAACTCATGGTTTTTATAATATTTCTGCGAGGCTTGCAGAATTCAAATATCATCGATTGTTCGGAGCTTGACGATAGAGTCGATTTTGAAACGCCCGAGGAGATAACCAGCGTACTTGAGTCTGTTGAGAACTCATTCTGGCAAAATTGTTTTATTAATATCCACAATTTCAAATTTCTCAGTAAATTAGAAATTATGTGATTTAAGCTGCCCATACGTTACAAAATTATTTCGAATAATTTCCAAGTTATCTTTTATTAATCATTTTTTATGCAGTTTAAGAAAATTTTAAAATTCGTAGTTGCAAACACTATTTGAAATAGTTGCGTGCATTTATAAATGGAATTTAAAGTCTTTCATATAAAAGTTTATGCTCTTCAAAATACTTTATTTAAGTCAAGACTGCCAGATAAAGTTTACCTGTGAACTCCTATTTTTTTCAGCTTCGACAAAGTCTTCAAAGTCGAAGTTGGTATTAGGTGTCTCGGCATCGAAGTGGTGTGAAAATTCAGGCGGAAACTCAAAGACTCGTGGTGTACTTGGTGATTTCGTCGTTTCAGCAATTACAGAGCCACCAGATACGGAACTACTCGCGCTACGCTCCGATGACTTTGAACTTCTCTGGTTTGAGAGAAGCGGCAATGGTGGTAGTTGCCGAGGACTCTTGGGTGATTTTGGGTAATTGCCGCTGTCACTGTCTCCGTTACTTGAAGCCATGTTTCGCATTTTATAACATTTTTCCCTTGAAATCGCTTTATTCGACTGTCACACCAGATTCAATAAGGACAATTTATTACTAACTTAGTTGGCTGCCTCTCATTGGTACTCAGCTCTTGCAACATTGCTTCGTGCTGCAGTAAATTTTGCATTATTTTTCATTTTCTTCAGCAGTTGCACGCTGGTAAACTGAATTCCATAGCATTAAGGCTAATTCAAATAATCTCCTTGACTTTTTTTATTATGAATTTTTATAATTTTTCATATCAAGCAATATTCGATTCAATAATCAATTAATCCATTTTTATTTTCCCCTTATTTGTTAGTAATTGTGCAGTATATCAATTAAGATCGATTCTTACAAATGGATTTTTTTTACAACTCTACATTATTTTAATTGACAGTACGAATGAAAATTATAAAATCGGAAAAAAATTGTATGCTGTACCTCAAAAAAAACTTTCAAAAGATTATCAGTAGTTATTTTAAAAATATCGTTCTTATAGAGCGTCAATGGCATAATGTATTCAATTTTCATACTACTTTTTAAAATTTTAAAACAACAATTTTGTAGACGAAAATTTAATATCAATTATCAATAAATTAAGATTTTCCTGGCGTTGTCTGACCATACACGTATATAACTACTAAAAAGTCAAATGGAATAGTAATTAATTAAAATATATTTTAAACCCATCTAAATCAAGGCATTTATAACCTGCACTAATTTAAATATAAAATTATGATTTTACATTGCAAATAATTGGCTTCTGATACTGTCAGGAGAATACCAATATCAATAAGGAATGTATTTTTAAAAATTGAAAAATAAAAAAGTTGATCTTAATTAAATTTCATAAAGAAATACATGATTTTTTTAATCTTGGCATTTATTTCAAGCTCTAACAAAATAATTTTTAACATTCAATTTTATGAGAACGTTAAACATTATTTAATGTATTATAGAGCCAATAGTCATCAAAATTTTTTTAATGGAAACGGAATATTTTAATTCTTGCAATTAACGATTTTTTTAGCTCACTGCAATATTTATTATTCAATACTAAATTTAAAGCTCCAGTGAAGATTAAAGAATTATAAGGTGAGTTTAGAAAATGAAAAAACTCACATCTTAGAATAATTCAAAGTATTGAGATCGCTCAAGCTCGTTCCGTCGAATGACTGTAAAGATTATTTAGAATTGACTGGTATGCATTTATCATAACTAATTAAAAATTGAATCGAGCTTTCACTAAAAGTATCATAAAAATTAATGAACTGAAAAAAAGTAAAGAAATATTTGATATAAAATAGCAAGTTGAAACATGCTTTGAATTTTAGAATTACTTCTTAAGAGACCTAAAGAGACCTAGAAGCTCCATATCTCGTCGACGCTAATGACCAGATTTTGATTTTCCTCGTGGAGAATCTTAACAGAGATCTGCAAGACCTTGAATGCTTTGTTCAATAGTCTTAAATTCAATAGCAATCAAGAACAAAGTTCTTAACAAAATGGAAAAGGAAAAACGTCGATGACCTATCCAAATGATTTTACGTCGGAAAAATGTTTTAATCAAAATTATCCAGCTCTTAATAGAAGAGAAATTAATCCATTGTAGTTAATATATTTTGAGTTGCCTCAACTTTATGTGTATTTTGATAGATTTTATTCGGTACAACCTGTTGATTATAATGGTGCTTGACGCACTGTCCACAATTGCACTAAAAATTCACATTACAAGAACATAAGCTATGATAATTATGATGATAATCAAAATGCATAAAGTGCTATCGATGTTTTTAGTTAAGGGTTATCTTTAAAATCACACGCGTCACACAGGTGGTCGGCCTTGAATGGGGCAGCAAATATGGATTGAGCTTGCAGAGAGACTGCTTGCTCTCGACCCGGCGCTCGTCGTGCAACTAAGCTCTCGTTCTCTTTTTCTCTCCTCCCCCGACCCCCCCTCTTTATATCTCCAACTCGCTCTTTCGCTTACTCTCACTTTTTCCCTAATGTAGTCAGTGCGATGGTAGGAAGAACACCGCATGTGCTTGGTCAGTACACGAGGATTGGCTTTCTACCCTCCTGTTGCTGTACTCTTTCTCTCTCTCCCTCTATATATCTATCTTCATCTCGCTCTTGCTTTCGTCACGGAACAAGGGAAAAGCGAGCAATGGAGGGGACCGAAGCTACGCAGCAGCTCACCCTCTCGAGCTCGCTCGACTGGATTCTACCGCTCAAGTTGACTGCCACCTCCTTCGATCGCTATGCTTCCCCCTCGTAGCGTTGAGCGCGTGCACGCAGTACGCAGGCTGCGTGGACCGCTGTTTCACGTACATATTCATTACCAATACCGACTGCAGATCTGATGGCGTCCCTGCCCTGTCTGCCCTTCTCATACCTCTTCCCCTTCGCCTGATGGCCTGCTTTGTGTGTAAGGCTACGAGATTCTATAATGTGCTTTCGCGAAACACTTTGATGGAATTTGTCGAGAAACTCGTGCGAGTCCAACGCTCTTGGGAGCTTTCTCTCGCGTACACGCGCACACATTTATAGACGAAAATATAAATATATAGAGACGGCTCTTGTACTTTATGGCCAGTATTTGCCTCTTGTATCATGACTCGAGCGCACCACAGGCTTTTAACTCATCTATACTTTTATACATTTGTTTGTACTTTATTACATATGAGTATGTACATAAACATTGTACACATTTTCCTCCGCATAACTAAATCTTATTATTAATGAAAGAAAAGCTCAAAAAGTGCTTTTAGGTATTATTTGTGGTGACCCACTCGAAGGGAGATTTGATTCAATTGGAATTTCACACTTACCGAATAACTATTTTTATACATATCTTAGAAAGCTGCATTTTGAGCAAAATTTGTTTGTCTGCGTAAAACCAATTTATCTTCTAATTAAAAAATTAATCAGTTCTTCATTATAAACCTAATTAATTTGTATATTTTATGTAGTAATTTAATTTTTATACACGTAACAAGAAAACTTTTCGACTAAGATTGTAATTTAGCATACTTAAAAAATAAAGAAAAATCTAAAAATCTTGTTTATGTAACAAAAATAACTATTTAAAAATAACCAACTAATTCATCTATGCATAATATTTTATGTTTGAGTTAATATTGACCACTTCTGACTTCTTTCTCCATTGTTTTATAGATTTTGACCAATACATTTGGGGATCCACCTATAAAGTTTCAGGGATTATTTGTAAAATTGCGAGACATCTCTATGAGAGTGTTTAAGCTTAATCATTCGGTTACTTTTTACAGAAGCAGATATTGACAGTGCTCCAACTATTTATGACATTTCACTTTTTTAATGAAAATCTGATTCCAAAAAATATAACTTAAAAGTCAAAAGAAATTTTTTCAATTTTTTAAATGTTTTTGAGTTAGCTTAATAGACTTCCATAAGGAATTATAGAGGTTTCGAAAAAGCCAAAAAAACTTAAGGGCATCATGAGAAACATCGTGCCACCGTATTTATTGGTTTATTCAATTTCATCGAGGGTCAGTTTTTCAGTTTATGAATTATGCATCATTTCTCATGTCAATAATAAATATTTATACTCCATGAGGTTTTCGCTGAATACCGGTATGAAAAGGGCAACGAATAAAAGAGCCTTGATCCGCTTAATCATAAATTCATATAAGCACTACCATATGAATTACTGAAAAGCTCTCAATAGAGGAAACATTAGAAACGAGCATTAAAGAACAAATATAATTTTTATACAAAAAAAAAGTCTAAAAATGACTAATTATAATTTTTTTCAATGATTTTTCAAGTTCATGAAATAACTTTTTATTAGAAATAATTCCATGTTGCATTGATATACGATAAACAATAAAAGGTAAACCATTTAAGCTTGTAGGTATAAATATTTTTCTGTATTCCACAGACTCATATTTAACGTTCATCATTTGCATCCTGCTCATGTGTAGCATACGTGCGTAGATAATCCGATTTACATAACATTGATAATCTATTTGCATTTACGTACTAATCAACGTATAATTCACCATATATAATCAAACAAAGCGATTTTAAAACAGCATAATATCTATTTTCATATATTTTTAATTTTTGCCCTACGTGTTCTTTGTGCGTGAAAACTTTATTGTTAGAAACAATCGGATGACGCTAAATCGACTTTTTGGGGAATTCAAGGAAAGATATTCAATAGAAATCTCAGAAATATCGTTTGAAATGTACATTTTTATACTGTTTTAGTAGCAAAACTTGTTTTACTTTTACCTGAGTATTGAAATATAAGACATTATAGCTATAACTATAGGCAGTTTGATATGGGCATGTTTCGAGTATATAGATTAACATGAATTTCTCACTATCTCAATTACTTTTGTATCTACTTTGCACTTGATACAAGTAATATCAGATAATAATTTTAATCGATATAAAATTACAAAAAATCAGAGCTACTCATTTTGTATTTATAATAATGAAGATCATATTACAGTCTCAAACAATTTCGGCATTTATAAAAATTAGAAATGATATCCAGTATTTTTGATGAGTTAATTTTTTATCTGGCACGAGTTCGTTATAAACATGAATTTATGTAAAAAATCAAACACGTGTTCAAATATTTTTTAAAATGTATGAAATATTAAAAATGTTATCCTGTCATGTGAGCTACGTCATTTATTAAAAATAAACCATGTTACAGATTAAAAATAAATTAGACAACAGCATCAATGACTCAGATGTTTTAATTTTAATAGGTAAAGAGGTACTTTAATTGTTGAATCTTTTAAATATACTATCAACACTTTTACAATTACTCACAATTACAATTTAACGTTTTTAATGTGTCTTAAAAAAGTAAACTTTCTTAAAATAATTTCACATACATTTGAAGTTAAAAAATTTATTTTAAATAATCATTTGAGTAAAAGACGGACACAACGCAATCGCTGATCGCAATAAAGTTGAAAAATTTTATTGACTAAAAATGAATCAAAGAGCCCGAAATTTTAATATTTTTTTTATTAATAATGAACTATTTTGCGAGGCAAGGTATCATTCGTACACGTGAAATTTGTACACGGGCATTTCTGTACACAAGTAAAATGTGTCCAATATTTGTACACATAATCGAAATTTTTTTTAAATTCAAATTACGATTACGATTTTTTTTTTAATTTTTTGATTTAAAAAAAAAAAATTTCGATTATGTGTACAAATATTGGACACATTTTACTTGTGTACAGAAATGCCCGTGTACAAGTTTCATGTGTACGAATGATACCTTGCCTTTTGAGATATTGAAAATGAGCTTCAAGAATCACGTTTTATGTAGCTATTTTCTTCAGCTTTCATTGTAATTAACGTACGAACACAATATAAATCACGTGTGATGAGCTCGTAAATTTATCCGGGTTTATGAGAAATTTTATGGAGTTGGCGTACTAGTGGAGAGGGCAAATGGTTTGCCTGCACAATACAATAATTATCAAATTTATTTGGACTGCGATGTATAAGTATAGTGAAAAGTCGAAAACCAGAAGATATACGCGCGTACAGTTGCCGCCTCGACACGGGCACACGACTGCGTAGGTCGCCGAGAAATACAGTACGTGTTGCTGTCAGTTATCTCGCTTATTTTTAAGTCATGTGCAAGATAGTGTAATCGATTCTTGTTAAAGGCGCGACCGGCCATCGTTCCTCGTCGAGTCGCAATAGAATAAAAATCGCTGACTGAAGTGAAACACATTACATCTTACTAGTAGTGCAGAAATAGTAAAAAATGCCGAAGCTGCAAGAGTTTCAAATCAGACTCGACAGATCGAGTGGAATCTATCTTCCCGGAGAAGAGGTTACAGGCAAAGTAATATTTAAACTTACAGCTCCTAAGCGAATCAAAGGTAAGATTCATGTTTTCAATATTAACTTCTTATGTTGGACTATATAATTGCTTACGTTTCAATTTGATATACATCGATATTATTTTTCACATCTTACTCCTAGTCCTATCACGTATTGTTACGAGATTTCGAATTATTACCGTCTTTTACTTCTAGATATTTCATAGTATGTCCTCGAATACTCATAGGCATGAGACGCGTACGTGTACAATGTCAGCGCGTATTTCTTTCTGACAGTCGTAAAAACTGGAATAAAAACTGGAATACCATGTCCATAAAAGTTTACGATTAGCTCAACAGATGAATTCTGAACATTTTTCGGTAAAATTGGATGAATATACAATTTGAGCTCACACATTTGAATATAAAAGCAATTTTCCAAATAAACTTTTCCTACATTTTGTACAAATTTTTTTTAATTATCTTAATTACTTGAGTGACGTCAGTTTCCATAAAGTTTACTATCGAGATTATTTTAAAAGCAATCAAGATCTCGTAAAATATTGTTAATAAACATCTTACAATATTATTCGATAAAAAAACATTTTTAACGATAAAATACATTTTCAGTGTGAAAATGTTAATTACCGTCCACCTAAAAAGTTACACACTATTCTTTGTTTCCTGATAAAAGTGTCCGAATACGTTTTCGAGATATTTTAAAATAAGTAGCTGAACGAGTTTGACTGATAAGAAATGAAGAGAAAAGAGCTTAGTAATAATATATTTACGATTTACGGAATCGTACAGTACAAGTTAATTCGTGCAAGTACTATTAGATCAAATCATAAGGATCATACATACCACTTTTACTCTTGTCTTAAATCTAAGTTACACAACAGATGATCGGTGCATCTAGACAGTTTATGTGTAGAGAAATGTGATACGATTGCTATTACATCCGATGTAGCTCGCACCTGTGAAACCGATGTACGCCATTTTACGTTGTCACAAGCATGTGCAAGAGTTCGTATTTTTATTTATGAGTGAACCATGAATTTAAACAAGAAGGGTAAAAAAGGGTGAAAAGTGTTAAAAAACATTTATTTGACCGGAATTCGATCTTTGGTGAAGTACTAAAATAATGAATTGCGCCACATAATAAAATAAAAACTATTTTGTAATTAAACATAGGAAAAATTAAAACTTCGATTACGAATTGATTCAACAAAACAAAAGTTCAATGCTTAGTGTTTAAGCTTATTATTTTATAAGTTGTATCTTGGCGAATTTAAATGAAGCTCAAGTTCTTTTCCAGAACTTAGGATCGAAAGTCAAGGAGAAAGCAAAGTCCACTGGACGAAACATCGCCAAATCAAGAGCAGTGCCCATGCGGGCGATCGTGAGCATTTCAAAGGCGAGGAGCGATATTACACCGTAGCAAGTCGCCTGCTATATTCCGAAGATGCAGGTAATTCGATCGAACTTATCGATTATATTTCGATACATACGCAACATTAGCAATTTTAATTGAATAGGAATATCGAATTAGAAAGCTAGCTCATCTTCCATATCAATTATTCAACGTGAAACAGAAGTATTTTCCGCTCTTCATTATCCATGACTGTTAAGATCTGTAGTTTTCAGTTTCACCAAACGCGTTTGTTAATTGAAGGAAAATTTGTTTCACGTATCTTGTCAAAAATCTTTTCATACCAGCGGCCCGAAAGTGAGTACTTCCTTGCCGCTGTGCAAAGCGGGAAGAGCGATTTTCGGGCCACTGTGTATGAAATTAATGTATTTTGCACCTAGGGAGTGAAAAACTGGAAAGTCTCAGAGCATGTCTAATTTATCATCCGAGACGAAGCCGAGCCGTTACATGCTCTGAGACTCTTTTTTCGCTACATGGGTGCAAATACAATTTTTTGTGAATCCCTCAGCCTAAAGTAACATTTTGGTTTTGCGCAGCGGGAGTAAAATGTTACTTTAGGTTGAGGTGGCACAAAAAATAGTATACAGACCTATGCCGCGAAAAAAAGAAAGCCCCAGAGCACGTGTTTATCGACCTCGTCTTCGCCTCGGCCACTAATTACACGTACGCTGGGACTTTTCTGTTTTTCGCGGCCTAGGGCAGTAATATACTATTTTTCATTGGGCATGAGAAAAGTTTTCTAAGAAGCTAAAATTTTCATTAAATCTCAGTGCAATTACGTTATGACAGAAACAGGCGTCAATTTCATAATATTATTACGCATATTCATGCATCATTTTATTTAAAACAAATGGATTTTTTTTCGAGCAACTGTTGTCTCAAAGTTTCAAATTTCGTACACTCGTGGCTAATATTTTATAGTTTTTTTCATGAATAACTTCAATGTTTTATAGAATAACAATTACTAAAGCTTTATTGAAAAATATTGAATAAAAAATCCAGATATGATTTTTAAAACCCAAATTTTTCTCGTAATACATAATTCCGAAATGGATAATTATACAATTATATTGCTGATTTACTCGATAGAAACTACAACTTTGGAAGTCGGCAATCATATCTACTACTTCAGTTTCCAACTACCTAAAAACCTTCCATGCAGTTTCGAACATAGAACTGGTTATGTTCGATACACCATCAAGGCAATCATAGATAGGCCTTGGAAATTCAATCACAAAACCATCACTGCATTTACTGTTCTGGCGCCGTATGATTTAAATAAAAAGCCATTTCTTGCTGTGAGTGTTTTCTACATGATAGCACAATAGTTGCATAAATATATTTATTTAACAATTAAAATTAATACCTTTCTTTTTGTCAAATAAATAAAACAAAAATTGTGTGAAGATTAACTCTTAGTCAAAACTTTGTCTTGAAAAAGCCGAGCGACACGCCAGTAAAACGTCCACGATTATATAATTTTGATGTTTTAATTTCTTTGATTCTTAGTTTTTGTTAAATTTTTAACAAAGGGTTAATCTTTGCATGATTCTTTTTTTATTTATTCTTTTGTATAAAATAATTATAATTGATAAAGTAATACGATTGAAAAAACATTGCAGCTGGGTTTTGATGATGAATTTGTTCATAAATTTACTATGATAAACGTATTTAGTAAAGGACCAGAAATGAACGTGCATGTCCAAAATGAGATCAGAGGATATGTACCCGGCCAAGTTATTGAAATGTTTGTTAAATTCAATCACGAAACAGTTAATGTTGAATTAACAAAAATAAAAATGGAATTAGTAAAAGTGGGTACTTAGTTTGTCAATAAAAAGTTATTTTCTTTGAAATGTTATTTTTATGCGCGAATATACTTTTTACAGGAGTTGGAGTTTATATCCACTTCACCTCGAGCTTCAAAACGCATCGAAACTGAAATTATTAGTAAAGATAGAAAACTGGGACCTTTCTTCAAAAAAGATGACGTTTCTCTAAAAATATTAGTTCCAGCACTTCCTCCATCGCACTTGGAAAATTGTAATATCATCAATATTGAATACAAAATCGTTTTTACTATTTGCGTGTCAGGATTGTATGTTTTTATACCAGAGTCTTACTGCAAATTTTTCGACTAGTTATTTATTGTTGCTTTTTTGCAGGCATTTTAATGTAACAAGAAAATACCCAATTGAAATAGGAACTGTACCACTTCACCACAGTGTTTTCGACGGATGGACAGCATCACGTGTAGATATGTCATCCGCACCGCCATTTGAAGCAGTCTACCAATCGTCGTCGGAAATATCTTCCCCCAACGCAGATGACTTCACAGTTACTGATGTTCCACCCTATGTAAAAAATACGACCCAGCCTATGTGTAAGTTTATTACCTCTGATATTACATAACAATTTTTTGATAACTGGATTTTAATATTATTAAAATTTTGAATTTCAAATAACAAATAAGTATGAAGATGTATTTCAATAATATGATTGTCACTTTCAGTACCTCCTACATATGAGGAATGTGTCTTTGGTAAAAACAATATAACAGATGAAGTGGAAAGTAGTCGACATGGAGTAAGTATACAGTTCGCACCAAGGTACCCAGTTTACAGATTCTCCCTGTCACAGCCATAAGAATGTATGAATCAATAGACAATGCTTTCATTTGATTTAATTATACCCTGAACATTTATTTCATAAATCGGTATGAATAAATTTTTTTTTCATTAAATGTAATTTAATTTAATTTATGATTAAACGAAGTAAAAATTTAGCATTTTTCCCAAGTTATTAGTTTTATTTTACACTTTGACTAAGTTACGGAAAATTTCATAAAATAATTCTCGTAATATTTTATTGTGTTATAAACATGATGATTTGTAGAAATTCCAAATACTTTGCAGGTAAAAAAATTGGGAAAAGTATAATTGAGTTCTAAACAATAATATGTATATATTTACACAATTTAATTTATATCTCAACGTCATATCATAATCGTTTACATTTTCGAGTTACGACAGTAGTAAAAGTATTATAATTTTGAAAACTACTGCATTTTTCGGTTGTCAAATAAAAGATATTTGTTACACCCATAGCTGAAACATATTATTATACAATTGCAAATTTTTATGAGTAAAAATTAAAATCAAACGATAAAAAAATACGATTAACTGTTACAATATCATTGTTAAAATGTCACATTCTTACTTTTAGGCAATGATTTTTTTTAAAAATATTTTTGTATTAATTGCTTCTGTCATAGTTCAATGACAATCCAATGTAGAATTGAGACAAATCACATGAAATGTGATTATTTTTCTACATGTACATTTGTTTATAACATCACGAATATGTACCACTTTTATAATTCATTAACGACTTAATATGTTTGAGTTAAAGCATTTGAACAAAATAGTCATCAGTCCTGTTTTGTACTCCAGATTAAAAGTATCTTATGGTACATTTGAGTTTACTACTGATTACGTTTATAAACGTTCACCAACCATTATTTTCTTGGGCACTCAAAATTTTTAAAATAAAAAATTAAATACAACTTTAATATAATTTCACTGTAAAAAGTTGTTATGTAGTACATTTTTAAAAAACTGCGTAAAAATGTATTCATTGTCAATTTTTTTGTGCCTCAAAATAAAATTATTCAAGCGTATAAATCGAGAGTATGTCAAGTTATGAAGTATTTTCAAAACGTATCATACAATATAAATGTATACTTCACTAAAGACTTGATAACTTTTTTCATCGTTTTTCATCGACACAATATATGCAAAATTCGTATTTTTCTAAAATGGTCCTGTATTCAATTAAAAGGAGAACGGAAATGTGCGCTCTGGCTTTATAAAATTTAACGCTTTCTTATGTTACAATAATCCATTCCCCTTGTATCAGGACTACCAACCATTAAATATTATTATCATAAATAAATTTGGTCTATTGGTAATAAAGTGAATACGCCAATAAACATTATTGGCAGTATTTGGTTACGCAAAACCATAATTGCTTCCAGTCGTAACACGTAATGAATATTTCATTCAACCAAATAAACACTTAAGAAATCAAATCAACATGTTTTTTTTTTTTTTAAATTTGAAATTGTGTCACGACTCAGAGCAAATTTGTCTTGGTAAGTGAGCTAACATTTGGCCAAGAATTTTGTAAATCTTATCCATTAATTCAGAAAATGGTTGATCGGTATATTCACGTTAAATAAAGCCATAGCAATAACATAATTAAAATGTTACAAAAAATACTGAAAGGAACAAATTACAAAGCGCAAGTATTAATAAAAGCTTATCTGATAATGTGGTAAACTTAGAAAACTTAAGCTTTAAATATTTAATATATTTAAAGTGATTCACAAAATGGCCCTGGCCAGTTTTTTACCTTATAAATTCAACTATTAAAAATTAATATATTTCAAGTTCTGTAGTAGGTGTATTTGTTTTAAAATATATTTGTCATAAGATTGTGTCAAAGTCAGGTTCTAGACAAAATTCAACTTATTTATTCAAGTTTTGAATGCATCAATTATCAGTAAAAATCATAAGTTATTTATGACCATAACACAAACAAAGTTAAAATAATTTACAAGATTTTGTAAAAAAATATTCTGCTTGCAAAACTTAACAAACATTGTTAAGTTTAAGTTTTGTTGAGTTAAGTCGAGAACCCAGTTGGTAGACTGTGCACATGTATGAAATTTTGTGTGGAATTTGTGTTATTTGTATAATTGCAGTTACTTTACAACATTACAATCCTATTTTCAGTCCACTCAAATTTCAAAATATCTGAAAATAATACAATACAAGTTAGAAATTGTATTATGAACCGTAAATTTATTCACAAAAAAAAATATCTGTAATAACTTACTGCGACTAATCACAAGAAAATCTAGCCTTCTCTTTTGATGTTGCCAGGTGCTTCTGCTAGTCCCTTAACTTTCAATCGTTCTGCTGTTTTCAAAAATGCTGGCAGTTGATCTTGAGATACATTGACTTCTCCTGCATACATAAATTCTAAAATTGCTTGAAGGTGGCTGTATGCAACATCTTTCAGTATGATGATTGGATGTTTTGATGGATTCTCCTAAAAATAGTAGATTAAATGAAAATTGTTATACTTGAAAAATGCACTAAAATACATGTATCTAAATAACTACAGGTTGCAAGCACACTTTTTGAAATGTTTTCTGTAAAAATAAAAAATATGTATCGAATGGTGGTACTTACTTCTAATAGAGACTTGAAGTACGGACTACAGGCAGATAATACCATTTTATGCGCTTTACAAGTTTGTCCATCACAAGCTAGTGTGACATCGGTAAAACTTTTTTCATCCCTCAAATGTTTGAAAGAAGAAACCATGTTTGATTGGAAATCATTCCACTTGAGAAAAAATTGCTGCTGTTCTCCAGCCATTGTGATTAATTGTCTTTGATTGGGTAATTAAAAAGATAGAATTATCTCTGTCTGAAATGATTAAAACAAAACTTATATACTTTAAAGTTATTCAAACTAAATGGGCTATTGTATTTTATTTTCATGAGAGACACGTTAATATAATAGATAAAAATTATTTTAAATCAAGGGACATGCTTAACAGCTGTCGTTTTTTAGTATGTAAGATAAAAAAAATTAATAAAATAGACAATAATAAGGGTAAGAATTACTTAAACACTTGTGATAGATAAATCAGTTGTACAAAAAAGGTGTAAGTGAATTGTGCATCACGTTAATAGTAATCAATCAAAGAGGAAAAATAACAAGACCTCAACAATAACACAAGATTAATACTCTAGCAGTAGTAGTATTGTATTCTATGAGTGAAAAGTCGTGCAGATTTTTAGGTTATCTCAGCCGTGATCGAGTCCCACAGTCGAAGCTTTTACTTGTGGAATATAGCTTCGGTCGAAAGCAAATCCACTCGAGTTCCTCAGTAGTCAAAGATTAAAAGCACAAATATGGTGTGAGGGTGGTATTAAGACGCGGAAGACAGCTAAATAGAATTGATTCAAGAATCAATGAGGAAGGAAGGATGCAACCTGACCTTGGCGAAGTACAGAATAGATATGGGAGATGATGGTCGATCGCAATGTTTTGAACACAGAGAAGCTTCTTTTTACTGCTACGAACAGACACTGTTCAGTTGTCTAGTATTAGACATTGTCTAGTATTAGTGTAAGACAGTGTCGGAGGAAACGGTCACTACAAGCGCGGATAATAACCTACACAACGTCGTGGTGGACAAGTTAAAATACGGTAAGCTGTGTCAGTTGTCGTGGGATGCCTATGTCACTGAACTGGGGGGATTGGCGCGGACAAATTTGTCGGGTATACGCAACACGTATGAATAAAAAAAATGGTACGTTCTTCAGATGGAAATCGAGGATAATTGTGTCGCATACGTACTTACCAATTGATATGGAATACTGAGCAAGTAGATTAGAGCAGCTTCTGATGTCAAATGGCCTCGGCACGCGACGGTCAACGAACAATGCGATCAAGTCTAGTCGGCGAGGCTCTCTCGACTCTCGAAGGCTTATATTTTCTTCGGCGCTAACGGATCAGAGTGATCTGATCAACAAAGCAAGTAGCTCCACACTCCGCAGCGAATAGCATGAACTAACACAGCCTCGACTATATAGTAGACGTCAGACCTGCTTACGGCAGTACCTATATAATACACAGCCTATACGCAGTGTAGGATATGTAGAGTCCCATTGGCTGCGCTCTCGTGCATAGGATGTATATCTATAGGGGTATGTATAACCAACACGTAACGCGTATAGTACATCTACAACCTACACAACAGTGCTGGACAGACAGTCGTAACTCGTAATGCGCATCGGTGTGCTGCTGAGTCTGTGAGTGAGAGTTCAGCCGCTTCAGTGACGTGTATCCTATGTAGCTCTACGCGATTGTCTTCGTGTGTATGTTTTGAGCTTTATACGACCTGCCGTACCGTGTGCGCTATTTGCTCTCTCCTCCTACTACTTAGCCATCGATATTCTATCCTCTCCCTTTCTATTTTGTCCTCTGGCTTGCGTTCTTTATCTCTCAAACTCTTTTTCTTCCTCGCACTATCCTCTCTTTCCCTTTTTAACTTCAGCTTTTCCTACGTCATTTATATTATTTATGTTAATTCTTACTCAACGTTTGATCTATTGTTTCGCACCTAGTAGCCTTTGATTGGTCATTTTGCATAATCTTTACAATAAATTTTTATTTTTTACGGGATAAATTGTAGAATAAAAGACCCTACAAATACTTGTTTAATTTTCTTACCTTTCTTTTCTCTATTCTCATCCTCTTTTAGTTTTCTCTCTTTTCTATAAATTTTCTCATGTCTTATAATCATCTTTAAAATTCGTAACATCTGAAAGTAATATCGTACATGCTACGTACAAGCATCTTTGATTTTCGGAACTTTTAATGCTTTATTATATATAGTAAGGTTGGTTTACAAGTAACATCTTAAATGTCAGACGTTCAACTTAAAAAAATGAACATTCATTAACATTTTAATTTTCGCCAATTTCAATTTAACAATTAAAAAAAGGAAAATATCACGGATAAAGTTGGTCGCAATTGAATTAATTATACAATTTTTGGCATTTAATTAATTATATCTCTATTATACATTGAAATTTTATAATGCTTAAATAATAGTATATTTTGCTGCTAGGGAGTGAAAAATATACTATTGTATGCAACACGTGCCTAGCTTTTTCCGCACAGTGTGCTGCGGAAAAAACCCACTCGTGCCGGCCATGCCAAAGGGCTTTTTTGGGCCCTTGTTACATAAAATGCTTTTTGATGTTTTAATGAAACGATGCAAAAAAAACCAATATTTTTTTGTATATAAATGATATTAATGAAATTCTTAAAAAATCGGCTATAGGTAAACTGTGCCATTCTCAAACTGTAAGAAGACCCTGCTATCAGAGTTTAAAAATTTTCTGGTCGGTTATTCACATATTACCGGAAATGTTTTTTACAGTAAAACTTTTTAATCAACACGAGGCCCATATAATTGATATACTTAATCAAAATCTAAGTATCAAAAACTTAAATTAACAACTAATTAGATAATCAAGTAACAGTCGAGAATTCATAGATGGCTAGGTAATTATTTGCCGCAGTAAAAGGAATGAAAGTCCAATCCTTTTATTTACTTTAATTGTAAAGAGAGAAACTTTTTAAATTACTCAAATACTACTGTTATATGCGCTCTACAAGATTGAAATAGTAATTTTTATTGACGGTCGATAAGAAAGATCTTTTTACTATCTTTATCGTTTACCGGTACATCACGTGTAATCATCTACATTATCATTTCAATAATTATGAATTAATTGTGAAGTGAACGTGCACACCTGTATACATGACCGATGATGCATAATTTTCAATTAATTTATTACTTATATTGTTTTCCGTTGCTTTTATTTTTACCAGAAAGCGATAAAATCGTTGATAATCGTATCAACGATTTTCAATCGTAGGTACTGATGAAAAATTCTTGTACTTGACATTGACTAGAGCGATCGTATTCATATAATAATAACATAAGGAGAAAATAGAATTTACATAGTTGTCAATAACAACCCTTTAAATCTAGAAGAACTATAAGAGTAAGGAAAACATCGGCGTGTTTTACTGCTGGCCCCCGATAAGTTAAGTCTGTAATTTTTCGTTTAATTTTTAAGTACAAGTACATGGAAATCAAAAATGTTTACCCATCCGAGCATATCGTAGGCTTTTGAAAATTGTGAGTATAGTTACAGCCAAATTCAGATATTCGCGTGCAGAAGCGAGAAAAGAAGGTGTTATTTGCAGAGCTCGCTTCGATTTAGGTCAGTGTATGATGACTATTAGTTTCTATATTAAGGTAATAAGGGCACTGATCCTCTCGTATTAGGGGGAAGAGAAATGAAAAACTCTTGCATTTCTATAGTCGTTCTTAATTTAGAAATAAACTGAAAATAGACCGTCTCGATGGCGCGCGCGCGAAAGAGACAAGTTTCTTTGACGAAAATATACGCAGAAAAATATTTGAGAACACGCGGTGGCCTAGCTTTTTTTTGTGATGCTCTCTCAATTTCGATTTGCATATTTGTGTGCATAATTCTTGTATAGAAACGTACGAGCTGTGGCAGAGCATCGGCTTCCAGCATCTCGAAAATAGCGCTGCCGATTCCCGCATTATTCCTGAGCTCACAGACATTTAGACCTGCCGCTGCCGCTTTGTGCTTCAGCTAATAGAACTCGAGCATGTAATGCGTTCATTATTCATATCCAAAAAGCTGAGCCTCGCCTTACTCAAGCTCCCGTGCACTTTTCGGATCGATTACAAGTAAAGCTGTCGCGATCATAATAACCGGTAAATCCTCAAAAGAGGGATGCGGCGAAGCTCGCATAATCGTCCCAAGGACTCAGTCGTTGTATATTTATTGTCACTGTCAGGTCAATGATATAACATTCAGAGGTCAAACATCTGGCACTATCGCATTTTCTTATCCAATTCTCTTTGCCACGGATCAAACGCCACTTCTTTCGCGTCTCCCGCTAATTCTCCGCCTCGGGTGCCGAATCTGTTTTGCCCGAATGCGAACACGCGTGGATTCTTATCTATGTTTTTTTTCATTCTTTCTTTTTTTTTGTTACGACGTTAGCGTATAACACATTCGCACAGTTAACTCGAGACAGAATTAAGGAGACAAGCAAATGAGTCGTCAAAAGGGGAATCGCGATACAACTCTTTCCTCATAATTCGAAAGCGAAGTAAATATTTTCAAGTCTCAGATAAGCTGGAAAATACAAAGAATTAATTCGATCAAAAGCTCGCGTGCGTTATAGGCAATGAAAAAATTGATAGCGTTTGATTTTGGCTTGCAAAAGGGGGAAGGTGCGCTAGAAAAAGTTGAGCTTCGAAGCAGGAAAAATGACGATGACGACACAGCGACAGCGGCAAGCTTTAGGTATTCAATTATTAATGCGCGTTAGAATTAAAAATAAAAGTAAAAGATAGCGTTCGATCGTGCGCGAGTTAATGAGATGATCGGCCAAAGTCGCTCTATATACACAACTGCGACGAAGAAGGCGAGCGAGTATAGAGTGGGCGAGCGAAGAAAAAGCAAGCTAAAGACGATCGTCAGCGAAGTGGGAGACTTTGCCGAGCAAACGAGCCCATTGGCGGCGAGTTTATATCGGCTGCTAGCCCTGCTGATTCACGAACGCGCTCTCTCTCTCTCTCTTTTGAAAGACTGATATACACGTCTATCCATTCGCGAAAGCTTTAGCGCTATGCCGCCAAATACGAAGTCGTTCAGTCGCGCGAAGGCAGTCAGACTTGGCGCACGTATACGACGAAAGTTACGCGCTCAGTTGCTCTCGCCTCCACCTCTGCCCCGCGTACGAGCTTGACAGGTCAGCGTTTGTTTATGCTCCATCCAGAGGCAAGATTATCAGTTTCTACGATTACCAGTGCTCCTAGCAACGAGGACGCGAGTTCGGTGCTGCGAATTTAATAAGCTGTTATTCAAAATAAAGTGCTCTGTGACCAAAGGCTCGCAAGTTGCTTTCCTTGCTCGAACTCGTGCTTTATTTGTGAACATAGCATACGCATCGCCGTAGTGACTGTGCCGAAATCGTTGTGATTATTGCTGTCGTTGTTTTTGTTATTTTTGTGCTTTCAAGACTTGTGTCATGTTGTGCGGGAAGCTTTGACGCCCTGCTTATCATACGATAGTGCTCGATGGACATGGAATCACCGAACATGTACGATAATCAAGCCCACCAATTGGGCCAACAGCAGCTGCAGGCCGATCTGAAGAAAGCTGCTCAACTCTTGGGTACCGGTAGCAATGGTACAAATAACAACAATTCCAGTCTGCAGGTCAATCACAATCAGCAGCAACAGCAACAATCACAGCATCAACAGCAGCAGCATCAGCAGCAGCAACAGCATCAGCAACAGCAGCAGCATCAGCAGCAGCAGCAACAACAACAACAACAACAACAAAACAATGTCGTGAGCAAAGTGCCGGTTTCCAAAGCCGCTGTGCAGTCGCAGTATGCCGAGCACTGTGCTGTCTCGGGCGAGCTTACAGATCTCAACACACCGGAAATCTCTCTGGACTTGCAGCATCTGATCGACGACTCGCAGTTCAACGAAAACATTCTGGAGATGCTGAACAGCAGCCAGCCGAACGGTGTGCCGGGGAGTGCGAAGCACTCGCGACTCTCGTCTGCCGGTTACCCGCGTGCCACCGGGCCCGCCCTGGCTTACATGCCTCAGCCGGTGCACAGCAGCGCGTCCACTTACCATCACGGCGGTGTGACGTCGAGCGCCGCCTCGGCCGGACAGATACAACACAGCTGCAGCGACAGCAGCAGTAGCTGCAACTCCAGCAGCGAGTCACCCTCGATAAAGGAAGAGCCGCAAGATCCCACGGACTCGCGGCGGGCTCAACTCGGACCCGGTGTCAACCAAGTGGCCCAAGCCTACGGATACCCTACGAGTTTCGGCGGTCAGGCGGCCTCGTTCGCTCCCCTGGTGCCAGGCCTAGGGGGTCAGGCGACTAGTTTGCATCCACAGCAGCAACAGCAGCAGCAGCAGCAGCAGCAGCTCGCTCAACAGGTAGGCCCACGCGGCCAGATAAAGAGTTTGCAGGCCGGTTCCTCGGCTGCTTCGCGAAAGCAATCCAAGTGCATCGACAAGGCCAGCGACGAGTACAGACGTCGTCGTGAGCGCAACAATATAGCCGTGCGCAAGAGCCGGGAAAAGGCAAAAGTGCGCTCGCGGGAGACCGAGGAGCGCGTCAAAGCCCTCATGAAGGAGAACGAGACGCTGCGCAAAAAGTGCGAATATCTCACCGAGGAACTGTCGGTGGTGCGCCAGTTCATCGGCGCAGGTGTCGGAGGTCTGCCTGAACATTTGCGAGAGCTCTCCAGGGTCATGGAGTACCAACACACGGGTGGCCAGACCATGTAGCCATCTGTAAGCTTTTACTTCGGGGCCTCGACGAGCCACCCGTTTCTTTTCCAAGTATTCTCTCATTCTGTGACCCAACCTCTATCGAAGACATCAAATTTCTATAGTGAGTGCACTTCGCAGTCCTTCGTCCTTCCAGGATTTCACTTTATGACTCTCGGGACTTTGAACGTGCGAGTGTCCCCTGACGTGTATCATATTATTTTTAATATTATTTATAATTTTAACAACAATTCACTATTGTCACTTATTTTTATTTTTATTATTAAAGTAATATCAGCATTAATGAAAATATCGATGTTAATATTTTTTTTTAATTACAAATGCATCATTATGATTTTAGATAGAAAAATTAAGGTTCAAAAAAAAAGCTTATCAAATTTTCGAAAGTTTATAATGGTGATGGACACATTGCGCATCTTGTTTTAAAAGAATCTTCGTGGCTTTTGTATTACAATTTGTACAATCTCTCTACGTGTACTTCCTAAAAAAATATAGATGGTCCTCTTTTGACAAGTATTGGTAAATTCGAAATTTCGGGCGAGAGAGAAAGTTAAAGAAGAAAGAGTAAGTAAGCCAGACAGGATGGCGAAAGACAGAGAGAGAAATGTAAAGGGAAGGAAAGAGAAAGTAATAACATGTATATATAAATAATTACAACTCTATAGCTAAAAAATGTATATAAGAATGAATCAACGCGATAAAGAGCTATGAGGGACCTTCGATGACCCAATGAGCGTGAGATGAAGTCTAAAGACGCTTCAGAAACTTCGCGCAGCATTAAGACTGGATACGGCGCGATATCGACCGCCTGGTGACAAGACCATGACTGTTTTAGTTTTCAACGATGACGAATTTTTTAAATTTCTCTTGTCTTTTGTCACGCTGTCTAATTATTGTTTAATACAAGGGATCTCTTCTACTCGTTTCCAGCCTTTTATGCTTTTCTTCCCTCGCGTGTGCACACCATGCTCAATTGTATACTTAAACGCGATTACTTACCGTTTTTTATGAAACAATCAATGAGTTACCATGTACAACGTACCTTATCGAGTATATAGGCTTAAGGATATATTATAGAGTGACAATGACAACGAATGTTTTTTACACGAAATATTTATCAACATAATATGTAACTTACGCACAATGAAATGTGATTAGAGCCTTGAACATTCATATTTAAATAAATAAATTGATAGATAAATATATATAAACATATATGCACGTATATTTTATTTATATATATTTATTTATATTATATATATTTACATATTAAACGTATGGAAGACTTTTCGATGAATTTTACACCTTTATATTTTTGAGACGATGCAAATGGCATTTTTTCAATTTGACCACATCATTATTACCATAGCATGTGGCTCTTACAGTGGGGAGTGAAAGTATAAGGTTATATAACGATTTTACATATGTATATTTAGAAACGTTGAGGAATGTAAGTCAGTGAGAAAGGAAGAGATGAGACAATAATGTTTCATGTATGTACGTTTGTACGTTTATACATCTGTTCATATCAATACATACAACATACGAGTACATATTCATAAATTATGTTTCCCTTGTACAATCTATACGTGTAAAACTTTTTGTTAGTAAACTAAGTTTGAACAGATATTTTTTGTGCGTAAAAGTTGTAATTAAAAATTGTTATACGAAAATGTTACCAGGGACCAACCGCTTCTTGTCCCGAAACTCAGTTACCGTAACGTGTGAAGCGGGCTTCATTCATTTTGTACAATTATCATCGTGATAATCATTGGATAATAATCTATCGTTATTTATACGAAAGATTTACGAACTTCTCTATGCATACATATATTTATACAAGAAATATTGATGATGATTATCGCGATGCTCGTTCGACTGTTGTTAACTGTTGTGCACGAGTGAATGAGATTATAATACGTTTAAGAGTTCTAATTAGATTTATGGCAACCAATCTTTCTTAATGCATATCCATACATTTATTATTTTTTAAAAAGAAACAAATCTTATATATTATAGATGTATTTCTATGTATCACTTTATGATCATACGTACGCGAAAAATACAATTTTTTGTGTAAAAGTTTGAAATTAAACTCAGCAAAAATGCTTGCGTGAATGTTGGTTTATTTAGAAAAATTGTATTGCGTATTTTTACGCACAAAAATATATTTTTTTTATCAAAAAATTAAACAATACTTTTTTATTTTTAACCTTACGTGTACTGATTTAGGTGAAAATCATGCATTTTTTCAATTCATTTACTTTTTTCCTTCATTCCAAAAAACTTTACAAGAATTGAAAACATATCGTCATATCAAAAGCAAATAGGCCATAATTATAATTTTATGCGTAAACAAGCAAATTATTACCGGGTAATAATTCATTCCAAAAAGTTGAATACAATCAAACTTTTGAGAGCTAAATTATTTTAACAAACAGTAGCTACACCTTTATTTTCATGTACAGTTCATTTAATATTTTTAATGAATTCATGGATTATATTATATAATTTTCCTCGACAAATATCAGAAGAAACATTATGTACCATCAAACTTTTGCTCATAAGATTTTATGAGATTTATTACTTTGATCTTTACAATATCTTTAAGGACAAGTATAATTAAACGCATAAATAAAATTAGCAAATTCTCGTTTGAGTAAAATTAATCATTTCATTTGATACTTTACTGTACTCAATTAGAAATTGGCTTATACTAACATTGAAAATGACTGTGAAATGCCGAATAAGTTAATGGGGAAACCTTTAATAATTCAATTCAACAACAACTTTGCGTGGCTTCGCTGAATTTTGATTTGATTAAAAAGCCTATAGATATCAGCAGGTGGTCGTCAGTGATTTACAAACATGCTAACCACTTCGTCAACTACTTCTGAAAATATCTTTCATCAAAAATAACTAATACTGAAAACAATAATAATATATTACATATGAAAAATTGATCAGTTGTAATGAGACTTCAGCTGACTTACCTTTGGTACCATTTTCAATATTTTAGTATTTTTCTTAACTTGTTTTCAATCAAGAGACTCAAATTTTCCTTCTTTTTCAAGACGTTTAATTTTTATGAAACTATTAAGATATTAGTACTTTACGATACTAGTGGCATAAGTAATACTTTTTGGCACGGCGTAGTTTAGGGTCTTAATAGCTGGGCCGAAAAGTGTCCCCATGGCACGAGTATCGTACAACATTTTTTATCACAGCGTGCGGGAAGTTTGATTTCCCGCACGCTCAGCCGTGCGGGAAATAAAAACTTCCCGTAACTCGTGATAAAAAATAGTATACGTCACTCGTGCGCGAAGTGGGTGATTCTCGCACGAGTCTCAGTTTGACGCCCGAGCGCAGCGAGGGTGACAATGAGACGACAACGAGACGTAATGTACTATTATAGCACTGTGCTAAGTTCACATTTAGGCCCCCTTTTCCGAGTCATGAGTCGCAATTTCTGGTAACGCGAAGTGAGGTTAGCGCACGAGTGTATGCGAGTGTGATGCGAACGCAGCGGTGCCATAATGTGCGACTTATGTCACCGAAAAGCGTGCCATAGATGTGAACTTATGCCACACAGTGCTATAAAATGATAATAATAAACGAATTGATTCGAAATTGGATCCTTGATCTGAAAGTACATAAAATGATAAAACGTTAGAGTTTGTTTTCATAAGAAAAAAAAAATTAAAACAAAATAAGCATATAAAAAACGAATTTAAAATTATTCATTTTTTATAGAATTTCGGGAAAAGCAAAAATTTTAGATGGGATTTTTTACTATCACATAAATATATAAGACTTCATCTAAATATATAAGATTTCGATGTGAATTGTATGATAACCATAAAAACCCGTGATATATCGTAAATTTGCGGCTGCTTGTAAGTAGTTATAAGACGTAAACACACACGCGGTCGCTTCGGATATTACCATTATAGTGCAGGGGTTACTCTTAGTTGAAATAGAACATTCACGAGTGTCATGAAAGTTTATAAAAAATTCGATTTTTATTTCAAAAAAGGTATTTTGTGTGAAAGACGTAGCATTCATAATCCAGAAAAATTTTTTGGGGTAAAACAAATAAAAGTTAGAGAATAGTGTCACATTCTTTTTAGTCTGACTAAACTACAGTAAATTATGTCTGTTTTAAAAATTAAAAATCGTTAATTATACCAAAGTCATAATAAATTGAATGTTGTTGCATTGATTTATGCCTCTTTACAGAAACTATTCTTGAAACTATTTTCGTTGACACAAATTTTTCGCTGATAGACCCTAGTCGATTTAGCAAATGGTTTTGTCTACTTCCGGATTTCAGTGAAATAAATGAGAATGGAAGAGAAAATAGGATTGTCGCGACGAACTTGAGCGTTGTTCGTGACCCATAGTAAAATAAAGTGTTGGAAAAAAAAACAAACAAGCCCATGCATTGGGTAAATATAGAGAGCGGACGCCGAGGGTTAAGAAAAATTATTATTTGTAAAAGTATAAACGTGAAAATATGTCGAGAAAAATTAGAGCAGTAGGCTAGAGTAACACCGTGATCTGTGGTTCGCCGCTTTTGAATGAGGAACAAAATATATTGGCTGAGCCAAAAACCGAAAAAGCCAGATTGAGATAAACTTGCCACCCAAGAGTCAAAGAAAGACAGACGAGAGAGAGAAAGAGAGAGAGAGAGAGAGAGAGAGGACATAAGCTGCACTTGATTTGAAAACGCGGCCAAGTTATTCCGAGATATGGCTGGCTTGACATATGAGTATATTTTCTGGCTTTTGGTATAGTCACCACTTATGTACAGAATAAACGAGACCCTAAGACTTTAAAAAAGAGATCTTTCGAGCGCAATCTTTAAAACATATTTTTATCGCTAACTTTCCAGGCTATGATTGAAATACTAGATATTTTAATACTACTTTTAATAATATATATGTTATCTTATGTTTTTTAGGTTTGCAATTTCGATCATGTTTATGCATTTTTTAATATAGTTATACTAATTTTACAATAATTTTTTCGCGGAAAAGAGCAATTTTTTTAGTTTTATACCTCTAATGGTTTTGATATATAGTTTTTAATATTAAGTTTACCCAGAAATTTGAGGCTGTACCAATCATTTCAAAAAGCCTATCAGTAGAAAATAAACTTCTTGCTACCAAAACAAATTGATCAATTTTTTACACTTGAAATCCGAAGATGAAAATAA